TCTTTTCTTCTCCGCACATCAGAACATAAGAAGAGAATACTTCACACGAGTATACCCCATCTGCTTTTATAGTTTTTCAAACGTAAGAAAATAAAGACTACGAATGTAGCAATTATAGTGGTAAGTGGGTACACGTAGTATGACTCCAGGCAGACAGAAAATCATTTATAATGGTTAGATTTTAGAAGATAGATTAACCAGTCACAGCATGTTAAAAAGGTGAATCAGACATTATATAGTTGTGATTGTATTTTGAGCTGCATAAAGCAGTTAAGACATCATTATGCCATGTCATTCTAAAAGCAGAAATACAAACATTTTAAAATCTGCCTTTCCAAATAATTATTTCAGAGTCAAAAGAAAAGCCAGAGGTAAAAAATGGAACTACTTAGTATCATTACAGAAGACAACAACTGATCAATTGCTTTTCATTAACAGAACTATTTCACAACTTGGACTATTTTGTTTCAGGTATTTTTTTTCAAGGGAGAAAACAAATATTGATTATCCATAGACACAAAGGCAATGAAATAAATGGTTTATAATCAAATGTAGAAGAATTCTAGGGTCATTTATTTTATAATGGTCTGTTGTTATTTTTACTCAAAGGTTTATGAGATAACACATTATATTGTTCAATTTTTCCATAATGTTTTCTTCTATTTTAGAGTAAATAATGAATCTGCATCAATGTCCTACCCTGCCTGGGTATCAGCTGTTGTAACCACCGTGCTCAGAACATAGCACGTGCAGTCAGTTCATCTGAGTGAGTTAACAACACATCAATGTGGAGTCTGTAAGGGCATTTGTCTTTAACTTTACAGAGGGAAACAGTCTCTAGCTGAAAAACAACAACCAAGGTTTTAGTTTACCTTCCTCCCTACAGATCTGTATACTCTGGAGTTAGAAGGGCACTAGGGGATTATGTAGCCTCCTGGCTCTCCCAGTGGGGTTGCTAACATTGTATCCCACCTAGGAGAGCAAGATGCAGAAGAGGAAGAAGACATTATACTATGTCTACTGTTACACCATTTAAAAATAGGCAGTGGCAACTTAATAACCACTTGGTATCAAGAGGGTCCTTTCTCAGAAGGGGAGCCCTGCCTGAGACAGCAAGGAAGCTCGCATGGGAACTTCACCGAGCTTTTCCCAGATGTCCTTCTGTGGAGTGGTGCGCCCCATTTATGTTGCAATCTTTCCAAAGCTCAAAGTGATTAGAAACGTAGAGCGATAGGCAGAATGAACACCATAATTACCTTTGAGATTTTTTGAAAACACAAATCGATAATGAACAAAGCTGATGAAAACACAAACTTGTACATCATTCCATTCTACAAGGTAATGGAGGAAATCAATTGCCCTCATTATGTAGAAGGGCTGAACTATCCCCACTTGCCCCCCCCCCAACCCCCGTACTGTGTGATCACTTTTGTGCACGTGAAGGATGGATGTGAAGGACTAGGGGGTTAACTGGTAAGGTGAAACCAGGGCTGGATAAAGAAACTGACCAACAGAGATTCCAGAGCAAAATTCCCAAAAGATTCATCAACCCCTTGGAGAAGAGAGGATGTGTAGGGCTTCTGTTCCACAACACGGGGGAGGGGGAAATGAGCCTCTCCTCGGGTATGCGGTCAGTGAACACGTGCGGAGTGCGTGTCAGCCCGGGCCGTCGGGAGGGGGAAGTGCAGTGTGGGACCCACACAGGCCAGCTGGGACGGGCTTCCCGAGGACAGTCCCACCCCCACGGAGCACCTTGGGCCACATGGACAACCCAGGCAGGTGTAGGAAGGAAACACGTGCTGACCCGGAGGGAGGTGGGCTGCGCAGCTGAAAGATGGGCCCCGCGATACACCCGAATACGGGCATCGCTTATCTACCCAATGAAACGGGGCATCTGCTTAGAAGCTGTGCTCCGGCCACCGCAGGTGGGAAGGAACCCCTAACACACCACTGACACATCCTCACTTACTCTCGCCGTGCATCACGGGACACAACGCCTCGGTCCAGCACTGTGGCCACCTGACTGCTACAATCGTATGAGCCTTCCATCACTAACCCACCAATCCCCGGAGGGAGCCTGCCAGACCCCTCTACCCCCAGCCGGGCGCTCTCTCTTCCGGGCACCTGGGGAGGCCTGGCTCCCTCCTGCCGGGAGGCACGCTTCCCTACTTTGTCTAGTGCTTCTGTCCACCTGTTTCTCTTTGAGCCCCTGAATCTTGGGGGTAGTTGGCCCTGTGTGGGTGATCAGAACAGGGCCCCCTCAGGAACAGATGCCCGCCCTGGAGAATAAAGGAAGGCAGGGTTATTCACTAAGGGGTTGCTTACATCAGAGTCACCCAGTGCCTCACGGCTGGGGTTTGCTGATCGCCCATCACACGATATGTTTGGAGCAGGCCATCTGTAAACACCTTGCTTTATCGATCTGACCAAATTAAAACTTTAAGTTAAACATTGACGGGGGTCCTGGATGGCTCAGTTGGTTAAGCGTCTGACTTTGGCTCAGGTCATGATCTTACAGTTTGTGGGTTTGAGCCCCATGTTGGGCTCTGTGCTGACAGCTCAGAGCCTGGAGCCTGTTTCAGATTCTGTGTTTCCCTCTCTCTCTGACCCTCCCCTGATCACGCTGTCTCACTCTCTCTCTCTCTCTCTCTCTCTCTCTCAGAAATAAATTGAAAACATTAAAAAATCTTTAAAAAATTAAACATTGATTACAAAGTTATTGTTTTCCTTTCATAAATGACGAAACCTGAACTTGGCTACCCTCCGTACTTTTACAACCACGGAATCCTTGTCTTCAAAGCCCACGTCTGTTTCTCTAGGAAACACAGTACATGATTTTCCAGCTAAGCCTTCTGTGTAACAGTTTATTATTTACTACATCATAGACCTCAGAAGGCCCTCAGTTTCTTTAATCCTCATTTTTCCTAAAAATTAACTTTCATATCTCAGGACCGAAACCAAACGTTTAAAAAAGTACAGCCTACTTTTTCACACCAAATGGGTAATTGTGCCTTTGTCGCTTCATGTTCAGATAAGGACAGAGAGACCTTGTCTTTACGAAGAGAGCTTCTGCCTACATTTTGCTCTCGCAGAGAAGCTCGGGATTGGACCTAATAGTGACATGACGGAGAGGTCTCCCTGCCGTGTGGCTCTATATTACCGTGGGTCATCTCCGCAGGGTGTTCAACTATAAAATATATATCGTAAAACTGTGGTAAATACCACATCCCCCACCCTACTGAACATCCAGAATTAAAAGCTAGCAAGAAAACTATTAACACTTTACTAATAAAACCCTTCCTTTCTCTGTCACTCAGTTGTTTTCTGCTTTTCATTTGGATTCCTTTTGTAGTCCAATTTGATTTGAATGATACTTTCCGTGATTATCAAACAGAAAGCGTAATGAAAATATTAAAGATTGATTTTGTGTGTGCTTGTGGTACCTAAGAACCTGAGTTAGCCCGAGTCGGGGAATACATCCTTTGATAGACTGAATCTTTGCATCCTCTCAAAATTGCTTCCTGGAAATCGTAACCCCCAGTGGGACGGGATCTGAGGTGGGCCTTTGGGAGGTAACAGGTCATGAGCATGAACCTCCATGATGGGATTAGTGCCTTTACAAGAAAAGACAGGAGAGATGATTTCTCCCTGCACCTATAAGGATGCAAAGAGAGGCGAGCCATCTCTAAACCAGGGAGCAAGTCCTCACCAGAACTTGAGTCTGCCTTGATCTCTGGTGTTCCAGCAGCTGGAACCATGTGAAATAAGTGCAAACCAGCCAATCCCGGGTACTTGTTGTGGGGGTGCGAGAGATCTAGGACAGGCCCTTATCTGGCATCTACATCCCGGGGTCTGTCTCTGCATTGCCACCCTCTTCGGTGGCAATGGGGCAGGACCATCATCAGTCAACAGACCACGGTCTACAGGCAACGAGTAGGCTACCATGCGAATGGGCTGCTGAGAGGCAGAAGGGGGTCATTCTACAAACTGATTTTTCAAAGACTCATATTGTTGATTATTTTTGCTTCCTTATTAGTTGTCGGGAATATCTGTCATGGACAAAACTTCATGCGGAAGCCCAATATATCAGGCAGATAAAATCAGAGTTGGCTGAGCGGAGAAGCCCATGCCAAGCCTTCCATCTCTACTAAATGCCAGGCGGGGGGAAGCGGCTATGCTGCATGGATCCCAGACACTGGTTAAGGAGCGAAAAAAGATCAGGCAAATAGGGACACCGGGAAGGGGCAGAAAAAGCAACTCAACAGCTTGGAAGTCATAAAAAGAGCCTGGTGCCGGGGCAAGGACCACACGGCCTGCTGGCTGAGCTGCATTTCGTGGGGCAGGAAAATGCACACAGAGGCGAGAACAGAGCAGCTAATGGTGCTGGAGTTAGGAGAGCCTTCGGAGGGGGCGCGGAGCCCCTGAGCAGGACACGGGCACGACCCGGGAGTCCCTCAGCATCAGCGAGTGGGAGACACCTCCAGTCTTCCAGCACGTGAGACCGTGCGCTACCGTGCGCCAGGCCCACCCAAAGGGACCCTATATGGACCCGGTCTCTATGATATATACAGCCTTCCCTTTGGATGGACTCAGGGCTTGCCCCAACGCTATTTTATTCTTCAGGCCATGGGCGATTGAGAACATTTTAACAGGAAGACAAACGGTAAGGCCAGGCTCCTAAACCCCACAGATACATGTGAGAGTGGAGAGGGAGGCTGGGGCCAGACGCCGGCAGCAGAACTGGGGGTCCTCCCCACGGTGACCGCGGAGGCCAGGGACCCAGCACAGATTCGAGCTGCACTTAGCAGATTCAGATAGGATAATGTCACCCTCCTTCCCAGCAAGGTGACGCCAGCACACACGTTTGGACGTAGAAGAGCAGAAAGAGGGGAAGGGAGGTATGCAGCTCACGGGCCTCCTCCCCCAGGCTGCCTGCACTGTCCCGTGTGCCGCCTCTAACTGACGCATCAACCCTCATACAGAAAGAAAGGAGGACTTACGGACGGAGTTTTTATGGCTGCTGTCCTTGCCGGGCATCATCTTGACTCCTCTTGACTTCATCTCAATTGCCTTTTTCACTGAAAGAAACAAGGTAAAGCAGTTAGTAGGTAAGACTCAAAAGGGCCATCACAAAACAGTGCTCTTCCCTCACGGCATTCCGAGTCCCCACTGCCTGCTCACCAACCTCTGCGAAGTGGACACGTCCTAAGAGGTTAATGATGCAAAGCAAAGGAAGCACAAGAGCGTGTGAGTAATTAACACAAGGCTATCAGACAGCAAGATCGTATCTTAGAGAAACTAAAAATGGCACGGGGTGTGGTTCAGCTACAACACCAGCAAAGGCGCCTGGGGAAATCACCATCGTTTCACCAAGGACTCCGCAGACCACTCTCTCAGAGTAATGTAGGGGCAGTGACTCCAGAGCCTTCCATGCTATGTCGATGATAATTTTTAGATAAAATGAAAGCTGCTCATTTAGTTATTAGTGTAGTTATTTAATGGTACAAAGTTTAGCATACATATGCTCAAGGGGAACTCATAAGGGAAATCATGTTCTGAGAGCCAGGAATAAGATGTTCATTAAAAGAATGAAAATCCTTCCAGACACTTGTTACCTAAGGACAATGCTAAAAAAAAAAAAAAAAAAAAAAAAAAAAACCCAAAAAAAAGCCTATATGAGATTGCTTTCTAAGGTCATAGTCCTCAGGGTTAAATTTATATTCTTCTTTTAGGTCCTGCATCAAACATATTAAGAAATTCCACTTTTCTGGTCATGTCTAGGGAAAAAAAAGTGAGGAAGCATTTCTTGGGAAGAAAATAAAAAATAGTATTTTAATTTAAATGTTTATATTTTAAATATTGAAAATATATCCCTGTTATTTAATGAAAATAATGTATTAATAATTTATATTATGAATTTAATATTTAATTTGAACAGTTATCATTCATGTAAACAAGACTGCACCTAGTCTGAAAGTATTCAGACCCAGGTTCAAAGCTTCGCTAACCACTTGGTAGCTACGTGGTCTGGGTAAGTCGCTTAACTCAGAGTCTGCTCACTGCTCTGTAACATGAGTGTGGTGGTTACTTTGATGTGTCAACTTGACGGGGGACAGAGTGTCCAGAGATGTGGTCAATCAGTATTCTGGGCATTTCTGTGACAGGGCTTTTTGAATGTGATTAACATGTAGATCAGCTAAGTGAAGCAAACTGCTCTCCCCAATCTGGGTGGGCTGTATCCAATCAGCAGATGGCATGAACAGAGGAAAATGCGGACATTCTCCTGAGTAGGAAAGATTCTTCCTGCCTATCTTCATATTGGGACATCAGCTATTGTTGATGTTGCCTTTCCTGCCTTAAGATTTACACTGAAACATCAGCTCTCCCCGGGTCGAGCCTGCCAACCTTTGGGCCGGAACTACACCATCAGCCCCCGTGGGTCCCCACCTTCCCACTCACTCTGCATGTCTTGGGACCTCTCAGCTTCCATAATTGGGAGAGCCAATTCCTTATAAAAATCATAGAGAGCCTACATTCTGATTCTCTGGGGAGCCCTAATACAGCGAGCATGTGGATACAGAACACAGGGGTAGGCAGGCTGCATAAGGAAGGTGTAGACGTAATGAGCCTATCACGGTAGCAGTCTACCCAGAACATGGCAGACTCAGTACCTGACGGTGTTTGCTGTTACTTTCCTATCTCTGCATTCGGACATGTGCCCTTGCAGTGGCCCCAGGAAATGCCCTGTGGGACTGTCCTTCCATGGCTGATGTCACTGAATCCGTGTTCCCTCTCCACTCTGCCACCACCTTGCCATTGGACTCCCTGACGCCCTGGGTAGAGAGGTCTCTGCATCTCTGTGTATCTGAGTCTCACAGTCCACATCTCACCTCGCTCCACACAGGGACACTGGTTAATAGCTTACACTGTGGGAAGAGTCTTCAAAGCCCCCATGGTGTCAATCTTACTACAACTCAGCTAGGTCTTGTACAGAACTTTTCTCGTTTTAGGCAGCACACATGGGGTGTGGGGCACAAGAGGACTAGGGAGCACTCCTGGCATGGGCACCTGCCTGAGATCCGCAGTGTGCCCCAGGACCAGTGTGCGCTGGGGGGTGGCAGACAAAGGAGGAACCCAGGACACTGGATGTCCACCGGCCAAGGGAAAAGCAGACTGGGTGTCGGATCTGATGGTACATAGGTACCATCACTATGGACTTTACCTTGGAGCCAATTCCTCACAGTGACACCAATATGATGGCAAGTTGGGACTATTTCCACCTAAGAGACTGATGAATCAGTTTTCTCAAAATGTTCTATTCACAAGATATCTTAGATGATGCTGCCTGTTTAGCGGGGTATGGGGGTTCAAGCAGTCCCTTCTTGGCATAATATGAAGGGGTCTGGCCTTGGACTTTGAACTTTACCCCTATTACTATAATCACGTAATCTGACAAATCACTTACACACCACAAATTCAGTTGTTGAATTTTTCCAATGACTGTGGGTCCCTTTCCTATGAATTTCACTAGGGGGGGGAATGAGAGTGTGGAAGTAGTTTATAGACTCTGAAGGGCTCTTCCCAACGGGGTAGTTAAGAAGTGAGTGAATTAGCCCAGTGTGGTTATGTGGCTCAAGCAGAAGGCGATGGCCGGGGCCACAGCCAGACCACGGGACCCCTAGTGGTGCAGCCACTGCTGGTGCCCGGAGACCCCCCTTCCTGGAAGGTCTGGTCAGTGCGTAGTGCTCAGTGCCAGCCCCTTTCAGGGAATGCTGAGGTCCAGACAGCCACCTCACCGCGGTCATACCCTCCAGGGGCCGACCACAACAAGGACTAATGCGCCGTATGCAAGTCCCGAGGGGGAGTGAGTTCAACTCCAGGTACCCTGTGCATAGCTGGGACTGTTTAGGACCTCCAGGAAACCCAGGACAGCTGCTTTCCCCTCCTTCCAAGGGTGTTAACCCCAAAGGGCGTCCCCCAGTGGGCATCCTGCTTCCCTAGCATCCACCTCCCTAGCAGAGAACCATCAATAGGCATCAGGGGTCTTCCCCTTTCTGCTCCCTCCTCATCTGACATCTTCCTCATCCTTATCTCTGTTTGGTGGGAAACAAGTAGAGCACATGCCCTCACCACAGCGTGACCTTGTCTGTCAGACTCCCCCGAACAATGTTTTAATTTGAACTGCGGAACGCTTCCACGTGCGTCACCCATCATAACCGCCATCTCCGGCTGAAATAACTTTGTCTTGAAGTTACTCAGGAGAGAAGAGATGAATGCACAAGAAATAATGAACAGAAGGATCGATGGGAGATAATAAAGAGCATAACATTAAAGCAAATGTCACCCAAAATAAATAGATAAAATAAACAGAACTCAATGCACTCAGAAAACAAAGAGGAAGAAAAAGAGTAGCTTTCAGGGCATAACAGTTTCTAAATACATAGGTCCTACCAGGGTGCCTAATAAATTCTGGAATTTTGCAAAGAAGTGTATGTAGTTGTATGAAGGTAATTCCACCAAGGATTTTTTTTTCCCCCAACAAGATGGTGCTGTGCTGCTGAAGAGTATCTGGTCCACTGAGTCCTAATGTGTCCAACGTCACTGGGTCTTCTAATTGCACAGCACTAATTCTTGGTGACATTCAAAGAAAGGGCAGTTGGCTTGGGCATTCCCCCAAGGGTCCCTCCGCCCATGCCCCCTCTTTTCCTCTATTCAGTGTCCTCCCGCCCCTCACCCCACTCTCCGCAGACCTGGATGGAAAGTTCCTCTCTCCAGAAAAGATGCAGGAGGTGAGGGAGAGGGTAGAGCAGACAGATGGGCGCGTCTCCAGGAAGACTGCCCACCCGGGGCAACCTCTGCCAGCAGCCTGAGGTTTCCCATGGATACAAGTGTTCAGCCATTTGTTCCCACGCCTTAGAATGGATGACAAATCCATCTCCTGATTGACAGCCATGCTAATTCTTGGGTCAACCTCAGACATATGGAGTCGGGGACTCTGGAGCTGGGCCTGGCCTTCAAGCTACAGTTTTTTAGTACGGCTACCTGGATTTACTTTTATGGTTTTATTTTTGCTGCCCTTTCTCTTCATTAGTTTGTTTTGGGGGACGGGGAAGAGTTGGATAAATGCTATCACTAGAGTCTGAGACTCACGTCTATCTTGCCTAAAATCATTTCTCAGTGATTCAGATTTAGCATCTTCAGATATTATCATTACAGTGTCCTTTCCTATGAGGACATTTAATAAGGTGAAAAGTTCTAGGGATAATATTTGAAGATTAGGAGTAGAAAATATTGGAAAATATCAACAGAGGATATATTTTCCTTCTGTCCCTTCCTTCCTCCCATCAGCTTCTTTCGCTGTAATCTCTCAGGGTTAGGTTCAACCTCACTTTAGGTAATTTGGAAATTTGAGGAAACCACTGTATCGAAATGACAACAGTTTTTCATAACTGTTTAAAGCGGCAACACGGTAAGAGGTAAATCTTCCTGTTTCTACATAATGCAACTAACTGCCTTCTCAATCCTTTCCAAAGGGCATGTCCTTCCCCTCCTCTGTCCCAACTGGGTCCTAATCCAGCTCCGCCTGGGTGCTTCCCCGGCCCCTGCCACGCCCGCGCAAGGGGACGCCAGGCCTTCAGCTGGTCCTCGCGCTCCTTAGACCTGCTAGGAAACCAAGGCATAGCTCCTGCAGCGGGCGTCCAGGGAGCTTCTGGCACCAACGTCTGACACAACACTTCCCCGGCGAGGGAGGGCTCAGCTCATTTCAAATAATAAAATAAACTCACAACTGTTTGAAACAAAATTAACTCACTAAATACAAGGACAGAAACCACTGAAGCATCCCACAACCCACAGAGGAAACTGTTGCACCCAAACACGGCAATGACTGACGCATCTCAAGGATTCAAGGTGTGCAAATAAAGATATAAGCCCTGTTTACTGCACTTACAACTGACTCGGATTCTCACACTCTCATTAATGTTATTAATTGAACATAAATGTATATGTAATATATACTATCAATATTTAAAATACTTAAGTAGACAACAGATATACAAATGAAATTATCTGAACTTGTCTCATTCTCAGAAATATTCTTCTTCTCTTCATCTTGCAAGTATTCAATTGTTTTTTATTTAATTTGGCAAGTAAGCAGTTATATTCTATAAGCTATTAATCTTCTGTATTTAGGTTGTCTTTTTATACTGTCCCCTTAGTAAATATCATTTATTTTAAATTTCCATTTAAAAGAATTTTATGTCAATTTCTTCTTGAATTGGTAGAAATGTCATTCTCCAGAAAAAAATGGTTTTGGTTCATGGGTTGTTTGGCACATTTTCTGTTTTCCTTTATTACTAGGGGGAAATAAAAAACTTCTCTAGTATTTCCTAGAGTTCTGTCAATCTTTTTTAAAGACAAAAATAAATGTTTTGAAAATGATATATCTTGAGTAATTCCAATGGCTTGCATTTTTTATTATAAAGCTTACTTTTTCCCCTAATAACATTTATTCCATCATTTTTTAGAAATGCTTTCAAAATATTCCATTGCTTCCTCAATAGATTTAATTACCTAGCACCCCAACCTAATTAACATTTCTTCATTAGATTTAATTATTGTTTATAATAAGAGTGTTCAAAATTCAGATTAAATACACATTTAAAAAATGTTTGGAGGGGCGCCTGGGTGGCTTAGTCGGTTAAGCGTCCGACTTTCGCTTAGGTCATGATCTCGCGGTTCGTGGGTTCGAGCCCCGCGTCGGGCTCTGTGCTGACTGCCAGCTCGGAGCCTGGAGCCTGTTTCAGTCTGTGACTCCCTCTCTCTCTGACCCTCCCCTGCTCACGCTGTCTCTCTCTCTCTCCTAGAAAAAAAAAAATGTCTGGAGGCGCCTGGGTGGCTCAGTCGTTTAACTGTCTGACTTCTGCTCAGGTCAGGATCTGACTGATGGTTCATGGGTTCGAGTCCTGCGTGGGGCCCTGTGCCGACAGCTCAGCTCTGCTTCAGATTCTCCCTCTCTCTGCCCCTCCCCTGCTCTCTCTCGCTCTCTCTCAAAAACAAACATCAAAACCCCATGCTTACACTCCAAAGCGAAATGTCCCCATAGTTCCACCAGGTAAGGATCAGTAAAAGTGTAAGTACTAACTCACTTTCCTCATCTGGTTAATTAGTATTAACGTATGGGTGGTGTGGACCCTGAATCACATCTGAACGCACACCTGCTCTGATTATGGCCGCTGTCACGGACGACGGGCCCATTTCCCGGCTGAAACTAGAGTCTCCACATCCCCACGAGAGCTCAGCACCCCAAAACCCGCTGCCATGCCTTCTCTTTCTGCATTCGCCGTTTTTTCAGATGCCTTCCGCTTGATCAACTCCATTATCGCACAAACGTGCTGTTTCCTTCCCACCTTCACAAACCGAGACAAAACGAACCGCGACGGAACAAACGGAGCGCGGGACCAGAGGGCCAGCTCGCAGGGACACCCAGGGGCCCCGGGGTCCCCCTGTCCTGCCCCGGCGCGAGGGAGAGACCCCCCCCCCCCAACCAAGCGTGGTCCTGCTCCCGCGGCACCCTCACCGCCGGGCCGCCGCCCCCAGGCTGCCCGGGCCACAGCCCGCAGCCCGCGGACCCACCTGGCGGCCCCCACGCGCCCGCACCCCTGGGCTCACGTGCTCTGGCGAGTCGCGCCTAGCGACCGAGCCCCAGCACCCACCAGGATGAGGCAACGCTCCGCCGCAGCGCTGCGGGGATGGGTCTCCCAGCTCAGGTCCCCCGCCCCCCGGCCTCACCCTCCCCAGCGGTGCACTCACCCCCCCCCGTCCTCACCCTCCCCAGGTCCCCCACCCCCCCGTCCTCACCCAGCCGCGCACTCACCCCCCTCCCGCAGCCGCGGAGACCCGATAAAGGGCGTCGGCGCGTGAGGCGTCGAGCGGAAGACACAGGTGCAGAGGCGCGCGGCGGGGGCGGGGCTTGCGGCTGCTCTGACGCCGCGTC